CTATGTTGTTTCGGCACAGTATGAGCATAACATTGATAAATCAGGTGCTTGGCAAGTTTTGGGCATATGGAGCTATTGGTTTAATCACAAAGCCTGTTCATTTGCCTTGCCTTTGATGAAAATAATATCCATCTATCTTGAATAGAAGTCAAGATATTTTGCGATTGAAGGAGGTGCGAGTGGCCTGGTTTCTGAATTAAAAATAGCGAGAAAAAAACAACACCAAAACGTTCTGACTTCCATAGCTTTCAGGCTTTTGGAACCTAAAAAGTTATTTGTTTCTTCCTTTAACCAATGTTTTTCAATAAAGTCTACTTAGAAATTAAGTAAAATATGTTATTAAGTGGACGCTGAAGAAGGTGAGATAACCCCCCCCCCCACCAAACAAACAAAAACCCAACAAAATACTGTCCATAAAAATTGCCAAACCCCGGAAAAATGTCTTTTTCTTTAATATTTTTATCACATTGACGAGCTCTTGGCTTCACCATGATGCCTCACATAAATACAGATTAAAAATTTTTTTTTACCCAGGGTGGAGCCTGCCTTGACAATGCCTTATAATAATATTATGTGTCTTATCTATAGTCAATAGTGCGGTCCAAAATTCGTGGCGCAGCTTATTCTCAAATATCTCCTCAACTGTTGAACATAAACTCTCCAGCTTTTGCACACTGACTTGTATCAATTTGTCTTAACAGATCAATATTTTTGCAAAGAGCTATAGGCTCTATTCTAGAAAATTACTTGATAAAATACAAATAAAAAATTCTAGTGGGGCGTTTCTACTGATTTGGAAAGATTTACAGCTGGGACGGTATCGCTTTTAAAAGCAAGTCTGTCATTTATATTATGCTGTCAAACTGACTAACTTAAATTTGTCTGCAATAGCTGCAAACAGATGACTGAATGTCTAACAACTGTAGAGCGATTATAATCATTATTGTCTTAAACAAACGCAAGAAAAAAGAGCACAAGCGAAGGATGTCTCAGGCATGAAGTAGAAACAGAACGAAATTAATCAATTTTGTGTTTGCCTGTGCATGTTTGAGTTTGTTTATGCGTGTTTTTTATGTATGTGTGTATGTGTGTGTTTGTTTATGTGTGTGTGTATGTGTTTGTGTGTGAATGTGACTGTGTGTACGATAGGTGGGAGTTGAGAGGAAAGGCTACCGCGGAGATTGGAGTAGAGGGGACCAGAAAGGAACCTGAAGGCGAGTAAGACCATCCCAAGGGGACAAATTGTGACATGACCGTCTAGAAAGCACATAACTAATAAGTACAAAGTGTACACCAGTTCATTTCTTTTCCACATATTCTTTAATTTCATGCAACTGCATTAATGCAATTTCAAAACATTATATTAACAAACATATTCATTAACAATACCATGGTAATACCAATACATTATATTATTATGATACAATGATTATTGTGCATTCTAGAACCGTCATACGTATTTGTCATATGTCATATGCATGGTAAAAATGTAATCGTGAATTTTTATGTTAGCTGTTAGTCAGATTTGATTATTGCCCGCGTAGAGACGTGAAACACATAGGATATAATTTTTAGAACAATTCTTTGCCCCTCCACTTTCTTTCATGAAGCATGAATCCCTTGCAAAAAAGCATATTTTTCCAATGATCGCAGCTCGCTATTGGAAGTCATATTAATAAACACCATAGATTGTGTTGTTGTACGCTGAAGTCTGTGAGACTGCGTGTACTTAGCCTCCTCCTGGACATTATTGAGGTAATCAAGTCTAGTACATTAAAAAAAAAATATTATAGAGGGTTTTACCGCGCTCGCAACTGCATAAGGTCATATGAGCGCCATACTACATTTTACATTGTTTATTTGATATTTGAATTGCTCATACTGGATCAGTCTTGTTTCAATTATAGGTTATTTCATCATGTTATTTGTGCTTACATTAGACTTTATCGGATTCAGCCTTGAACATGTTTCGATTCTATCTTCATGACAAAAATGGAGAGGGGGTATAGAAAAGTAAACCCTCAACAACTTTGAGTACAAAAAAAAGAGACTGAAAAGGAGGAAAGGGGGGGGGGGGGTGGCATCTTTTAAGTTGTGTCACTCAAAGTAGTGAAACTGAATTGTATTTTGGAAAAGAAAAGAAAAAGAAACCAAACAACAGGAACAACGACAATATGGAAAACGCTATCCACAAGTTTGTACAGCACTATTCACACGTTTGTACAACACTATTCACAAGTTTGTACAACACTATTCACACGTTTGTACAGCACCATTCACAAGAAAAGTAAACGATACGTATTTAAAGAGGTACTGATGACGAGAACGATGATGAGTTTATGCTACAGGCGAGGAATGTCTGAGTATGTATACGGGCGTCATGAGCGCAATGCTTGTGGACTGACTCCAAGTTGAAATTATTGCGACCTGCGACTTCAGGTAAAAACGACTGTACAATTAATATGGTGTATTATATTATTGATACATTGCAGATGATTTACGTTTATACACACACACACAC